GTCTTTGTATGGCTTAAAACAAGCGCCTAAGCAATGGCATGAGAAACTTGATCAAGTTTTGACAACTGGTGGATTTTCTACTGTTGAAGTAGAAAGATGTGTTTATACAAAGTTTGTGAATAATGAATGTGTGATTATATGCTTGTATGTTGATGATATGCTAATTTTTGGCTCTAGTATGTGTATTGTTAATGAAACAAAAAATTTTCTTTCTTCAAATTTTGACATGAAAGATATGGGTGAAGCCAAGGTAATCTTGGGTGTAAAAATCATAAGGAATGAAAATGGAATCTTGCTTTCCCAAGAACATTATATTGAGAAAATCCTCAAAAGTTTGGACATCTTGAAGATGCTCCTTTGAGTACTCCTTATGATTCGAGTGTGCAATTAAAAAAGCACAAGGGTGACCCAGTTGCTCAATCTGAGTATGCACAGATTATTGGGAGTCTGTTGCATTTGATGAACTTTACTAGGCCTGATATAGCTTATGCTGTAGGCAGATTGAGTAGATATACTCACTGTCCAGGCAGTAAACACTGGGAGGCTCTGGTGAGAGTCTTGAGATATTTGAGAGGTACCATGAATTATGGTATATTGTATAGTGGATTTCCCGCTGTATTGGAAGGATACAGTGATGCTAACTGGATTTCGGATTCAGAAGAGACAAAATCCACTAGTGGTTATATATTCACTCTTGGTGGTGGTGCAATAACCTGAAAGTCTGCAAAACAGACGATCAACACAAAATCCTCAAGGGATTCTGAGTTCATTGCAATGGAGCTGGCTGGGAGTGAAGCTGAGTGGTTGAAAAACTTCCTAGCAAGTATTCCAATAGGTGAAAAGCCTACACCATCAGTGTCTTTACATTGTGATAGCCAGTCTGCAATAGCAACGGCTAAAATTAAGACCTTCAATGGCAAAAGTAGACATATTCGATTGAGACATAATATTATAAGGCAGCTGCTTAAAGACGGGGTCATCTCAATCGATTATGTGAGATCAGAGTTAAATCTGGCGGATCCGTTAACTAAACCCCTAAGGAAGAAATTTATTATTGAAACGTCGAGGGGAATGGGACTTAAGCCTGTTTGAAATTAACGGTGTTGGCAACCCAACCTTTGTGATTGGAGATCCCATGAAGAAGGTTCAATGGGTAAAAACAAGTCACTTGTTAGTTCTGCTAGCACTGAATTTTGTCCCTTCCTATGGCTTGAGAAAGTGCTAGAATGCATTGAACGGAGGCTGAGCGATAGCTCTTAATGTTTTCATAGTCCTTACGGATGGTGTATTCATTGCAGATACACTTGATGAAAACACCTATACAAATGTGGAGTGAGGCCGCTCCTATGAGATCGTGGCAAAATCTCTAGAGCATTTGTTAAAACCAGGCGAGAGCATGGCCGATAACGTGCAAAAACGTCGTTAACAGCAGAGACTGTGGGGGTATAATCCGATTAATAAGACCTCTAGCACATGCTCAAGATCTGTTGGTTCAATAACAAAATTACACTAACTTTTCTATGTGCTAAGTTTTATTAGTCTAGGATTGGTTCAAGTCGACAGACACCAAATTCAAAGTGATTATCCTCCGTGTGAATAACTCAGACGAACATAGATCCTTTTAACACATGTGGGGGATTGTTGTATGTGTGTCAAAAGTGTGTGTGTGTCAAAGTCCCACATTGATTAAAAGAAAGACTCTCCTAGTGTATATATACTAAGGACTGAAGTGGGCTAGTAAAATGGGCTTGGAAGAGAAGTGGCCTCGCGCACATGAGACAGGCCAACTCAGGGCAATCGCAGTGGAAATCAGCCGATTCGCCCCCCTGCGCGCGAGTTCAAGAGGTAGTGGGTTCCTTTTACCGGATTATTTTTACAAATAAATAATTATTTTGGCTTGCCGGAGAAACTCAAATTTTGGCTGTCTGGAGTTTGAAGTCAAACCAAGAACGTTTTTTTTCATTAAACAAATTAATTTTTCTAAACGTTTGTCTTCCCAACGTTCCCAACGTTTCTAGACAGGAGGTTGAATGCGTTTTGTGTAACTCCAACGTTTCCAGACAAGCTTTTAAATAATTTTTATGACACTGTAACCGAGCTTTTAAACCGGTGGTAACCCCCTAACGTTCATGTCCACCTCCGGGCTATATATAGCCATGGGTTCAGACAGAGCGAAATACAGAAGCCTCTTGAGTCCTCACGGTTCTCTCTTCCTCCCTCTGTGAATCTATCTGTGTGCGTCTGTGATTACATTTGGTCTTCGTTGTTCTGTTCCCTCGTTCCACCGAGGAAGTGCTTGTTTAATCCTGGGGAACTGCCGGACGTCCGACGGTGTGCCGGAATAGTTCTTAAGGACAGTGTCCTCCCGGGCACGACTCAAGCAACCAATCAGGAGTTTGCTGCTACACGTTTGCCGCCAGTGTAATCAACAAATATAACTTGGGATAACTAGTGAGAAATAGAATTGTCATTAGTGCATGTTAAATGTAATGATAGGGTAACTGATTTTCTTTATATACCACATGCTATAATATCCTTCACCCAACTACACTCAGCCAAATGTAGCAGTGTTATAAACATTCATCCTCCCACCACTAATTATTAAGATTGTCATCACGTCTTAATGATTTATTAGTTGTGATCATGTTTGATTATTGATAGTAATCATGCATATTGAGGATAATAGCTAAGATCATGCTACAAATGGTGGTCATGGGTTGTGACCGTACCCAATATCAACCATACTTAAGGGATCCATAACCGTCTAAGCCTAAGGATGATTCCTTTATGCATACATACTTAAATTTATCCATATTATAACATGGTGTTATCAAAAAGACTAATGATAAAAAGTTATGAAAGCCATGGCTCACCCTTTTCTTTCAACAATTTCAGGTGAAGAAGAGGGCTTACGTAGACAAGTAGCTATCTATTTCTGATCTTGTCAATTTAAGACCTAAATCTATTGAGTTGTGTGACATTTTAAGATATGCCAAATGTAATAACTTCATAACCTTGTTAATTTTGTGATGCTTGCCTATGAATGTTTTAATGGAATGTTGGGTTGTAAAATTTGGACCAATAATTTTTTATTTTATGCTTGGATCTAAACTTTGCTATGCACTCAAATTATCTAATGAATTGGATGGGTTGGCTTTGAACTTAATGTGATTTGAGTTGTGACTTTTGGTTCGATTATATGGCTGAGCTGGTTATTTGATTATTATAATATAGTTACTAACATTTCTCTTTATTTAGACATATGTCAAGCTTTAATCTGAGATTCTATCCAATTTTTTATATAAAAAAGAAATTTTGACCCATAATTTATTGTTATCATAAGTGATACTTGATTATTGTATCAATTATATGCTTAATAAAGTAGTGTTACACATAGTTTTTTTACACTATAAATTAAATTTGTAATTTGTAATTTTGCATATCTCACTCTTCTATTTTTACTTTGAATTTCATATTCACTATCATTTTTTACAAAAGGTCACACACCTTATTAAAGAACGTGCCCTTTATCAAGGTATTTCAATATACCTACTTAATAATCTTTTTTAAAAAGAAAGAATAAGTTAATTACTGGTCATTCTACTCAATAGTTTTCTATTAAAATGATAGATTTTACAATATATAAGATCATATGATTAATTTTGGAAGCCTGTGAGGAACTCACAATCTCTTTAACCTATTTAAATTTAAAGGGTAAAGGGGCAAAAATACCCACAAAGTAGTCAGCTACGGGCACTCAGTATTCTAAAGTGACGAAAAAGGCAAAAATACCCATAACGTTATATGGATAGGTGCAAAAGTAACTAGACCATTAACTTTGACCTAACATCATTAATTTTGACCGTTAAATGTTGACTGTACATGCCATATGTCGGTCTTTGCTGATGTTGATTGAAAAATGGGCAAAAATATCCATGAACTTGTTGGCCAGGGGCAAAAATACTCATAACGTTACCAGAGTTGGTGCAAAAGTGACTAATCCATCCAATTACTTAAATGTTGACCGTTTAGTTGACACCTAAGCAGAAGTTGACTATTTTTTCACTAATGTAAACAAAAAATATTCCAAGATGAATTTTTACAGATGTTGATCGATCATTGTATGAGTACCTATAATGTTACTTTAGTAGGTGCAATAGTATCCAATCCATCAAAATCAATGCTATATAATTTCTTTCCATCACCACATATCTCGCCCCTTTTCTTTCTTCCTCTCTACTCATTTTTCTTGTCTATAAAACCTGAGATTTAATATAGTAAGATAGGTTGTTCAAAATCGAAGATTGAGACTAAGTACATATAGCTTAAGAACATTATCACAACCTTAAGCAATTGCATTCATGATAGATTCAAAATTTTCAAATGATTTTCATCACTGCTACAAAGAAACAAGCAATTTAATTTGATATTCAGTTAAAATGACAATTTTTCACATGATATTCATACAATAATCGATTAACTTCCAGAGAATTTCACCTAGGAATATTTTTTGTCTACATCAGTGAAAAAAATAGTCAACTTTTGCTTTGGTGTCAGCTAAATGATCAACATTTAAGGGACTAGATGGATTGGTTACTGTTATACCAACTTTGGTAACGTTTTGGGTATTTTTGCCCCTGGCCAACAACTTCGTGGGTATTTTTGCCCCTGGCCAAAAAGACTGACACGTGACATGTACAATTAGCATTTAATGGTCAAAGTTAATGGTGTTAGATCAAAGTTAATGGTTTGATTACTTTTGTACCCATTCATGTAACGTTATGGGTATTTTTGCCTTTTTTGTCACTTTATGATACTGGGTATTCGTGGCTGACTGCTTTGTGGTATTTTTGCCCCTTTAGCCAAATTTAAATTTAAATTGTTTAGCATACTCTAATTTGTGATGTAAAGTTTCCAAAAGTCCCACATCAAAAGTTGAAGATACTGTCTAAGGTGAAGGGGACATAAAAGGGGAAGCCAAGGATAGTTTAAAAGCATGCAGCCACGTAATGAGCACATAGCGAACTATTCTTTCACCTTTTACTAAAGAATACCGTGTGCTCATTGCTTCAAATGGCATGCGCCTATTTTTGAAGAGTCCTAGTTCAGTTTGATTTGGAGCTCTATATTGAAGTTGTAAGATTTTTCAATTTTAATTTTGGCAACATTAGGCTTTTTAGTCTTACTTGGTGGTGACTAGAATTGGAAATTTAGGTCATGTTTGAAAAATTTTAAGGCTATACTTGATAGTTTAAAAAAATCTTCCTTAAGTAACTTGAATAAGTGGAAAGAAATTTAGGCCAAATTCAAATTTGAATGAGTTTATCGTGTACATGCCTCAATTTTTTTATTATTAATGAAATAAAATTAAAATAGGATAAACATTGAAAATCTTACTCCCTCTGTTAATAAATGTGAGGCATTTTTTAAGGTGTTGGATGTTAAAAATGTAAGGCATTTTTAGTCTTTTGAGGTATAATCATTGACATTTTTTCAAAAGTGCCCCAATCAATAATGACTTTATATTTATTGTAAGATATTTAATAAGGGTAAATATGAAAAGATATGATTAGTTGAAAAATAAAAAACTATTTTATTGAGGAGTGAGATTTGATTAAAAATGCCTTACCTTTTTGAACGGAGGGATAATTTTTTAAGAAAAATTGAAATTAGATAAAAAGGAAAAATAAAATAAAACTTAACCATTTAAGTATTCGAGCTACCCCAAATAAACCAAAAAGCATGAAGTGTAAAATATTGAATTTGATTATATGAGCTTTTTATATATTTAAATAACTTGATGAATTGAGCCTATCCCAAAATGTGGTGTTCCATGGGACAGAATGATTGAGTTGGGGGATCCCACATTTGAAAAATATGCAAATTCTTAACCAACCAGTGACTAGCACTTCCCAGACTAGGGAGCATGGGAAGAACTTTATTTGCTCTCCCCCCAATATTTTGAAAGCTGTACAACCTGATAAGAAAATCAATATTAAATAGGAAAAATTACTAAAAATCACCTAACCACAAATTTGACTATTAAAAGGAACTTGGAAACTTTTATAATATGAGGCTTTTCACTAGCATTAATTTAAAGCTTTGAATGACTAGATTGACCTTGTGATTAAAAATACAAAAGTTAAGCAAAGTCCTTTGCTATCAATAATTTAGTGTCAATATGTAAAACAAGATCCTTCGATGTCAATACATTAAACAAGATCCTTTGGTGCTAATATGTCAAGCAAGGTGTAAATTTTCATGATATGCAAAATAAATATTCAAATAAATAGAAACCAATTGCATCTCCTTGAAGGGTGCTTGTATATTGTGGAAGAATGATCACACATAATTAAATATACCTACACGTTGTTTTTAAAAAAAACATTGAGTATAAATTTTCAAGATATCCAAAATGCATATTCAAATAATGAAAGCTAATTATATTTTCTTGAAGGGAGCTTGCATATCATGGAAGAAGGGTCGCATCTCATTGAAAATACTTGTATTTTTTTTAATAAAATAAGGAAACTTCATTCAAAGGAATTTTAACGAGTACAACCTAAGAAGAAATAAATAACAATAAGAAAATGGCAAAAAAAAGGCCCCTCAAATAGAGCATAAACAAGCCTAATGAGGAGATTCTCGATACAAATTAAAATCACAAGGAATACTATGAGCCAACTTCGCTAGGTAGTTAGCATCCTTGTTCTCTTCTCTATAGATAAAAGGCATGTTAACAATCTAGCTTCTGTAAAGTAATGTCCTCATGGCTTTCATAATATCACAGAAAGGATGATAATTATGATTATCCCTTGTGATAGTTGAAATGGCATACGTATTATCACAAAAGACTTCTACAGTTCAAAGTCCCTTTTTTCGACATAATTTCAACCCATGAAAAATGCCATAAATTTTTGCAATGCTAATAGAAACTAGGAACATGATCCACCTTCTGATTGAAGCTTAAAATCTAATTTCCAGTAGTATCTCTTAGAATTTCACCATACGAACTATGCCCATCAGTAAGAACATATCTATCTGTTTCCAACCTAAAGTTAACGCTTCTCAATTGTTGAGAACAATCTTCAAGTCAAATGTGTGATGCTTCTCAATCTGAGTAAGAAGTTTGCAATATAGGCCATTTTGAATAGGAAAGAATGTGGATCCTCCATAAAATCTTCTTCCCCTATTTGGAAAAGAGTATTGCATCTATCTGTCAAAATGTTCCAATAAGTATAAGTAAAGAGGACATTCTAAGAAACAATCCCCGTAAAACGATTCCTAACATGGTGTGTTAAATTCCATGATAACCATTCCCTTCTATCTAATCCTAAGAACTTATCCATCTCATTTGGTTGTACATATTCATTCTCCCATTTCTTGGCATGTGGACAATCACAGAATAGATGCATAGAATCCTTTACTATTAAGCACCCTAAAGGGCAAGGCTTAACAAATGCTAATCCTCTCTTCTATTGTAACTTTGTTGTATGTACTCTATCATGTACCAGCAACTAGAGAATGGATTTGATCTTCTCAAGAATCTTCCACCTCCAAATGTTGTGCCAAATGGGATCTATATGGTCCTCCCTACCAGCAAAAAGAACATAATAGCTAGAATTCACAGAATAGTTCCTGTCATTAGAAAAAATTCATAAATGTTTATCCTCTCTTCTCTCCTCACAGGGGGCTCTCAAGCTAGTAATGAGATTTACAATGTGATCTGGAAGCCATGATCTCATTTCAATAGTGTCCCATCTACCCGAAGGAAGAACATAATCCTTTACTCATTCATTTAATAATATCTATGTATTCTCTGCTCTGCTCCTCATAATCAATCAATAGCATTCTGTTAAGGATCCACCTCTCAAACTAGAAAGAGGTATTGCGACTTGACCCTATAAATTTTCCAAGCCTATCTTGTAAGGACTCCCAAACTTTCACTATACTTCTCTATGTGATCAAAGCCCCTATTATTTTCTTCACTTTTGGAAACTCTCCATCACCATACTTATACTTGAATTTCAACACTTGCACCCAAAGAGCTTTCTCATTAGTTAACAAACTCTAATACAACTTCCATATAAAAACCTTATTCTAAAACTTCAAGTTTTTAATACCTAAACCGCCCAAATCCTTATGCTTATGCAAAGTGTCCTAAGAGAGGAGATGTACTTTATAAGCCTCTTCACTATCTCCCTAATGAAAACCATGATTGATCTTCTATAATTCATTTAGAATTCTTATGGGAAGAAGAATAGTCTGCATGTAATAAGATGGAAGGGTTGAGATAACACATTTAACAAGGATGGATCTTCCTACCATAGTAATGTAGTTTAACTTTCCAACTAGACATCCTGCTTCTTGCTTTCTTTAGGGTAGGAACAAAGAGGCTATTAGTGATCCTCTTGTGAATGAGGGGAATGCTTAAATACTTCCCTAGATCCTTAGTTAGCCTAACTCCTAGTGTTTGACTCATCATCTGCTTCTTTTGTAGACTCATATTTTTATAGATAAAAAGCTTAGTTTTGACCTTGTTCATTTTTTCCTTAGAGCTAGCACAGAAGTGGGACATACATATCCATAATATCCATTTGCTTATGAGATACTTCCTTAAAAAGCACAAGATCATTAGCAAAGAATAAATGCAAGAGTCAAGGACTATTTTTGATTAGCTGTATTGGTTTCTATTCTCCTCCTATAATTGCATCATTAATGATGTGGTTCAACTTTTCCATACATAAAGTAAAATATATATGGTGATATCAAATTTCCTTGTCACAAGCCTCTGGAAGGCACAATTTTTGAAGTAAGTTCTCCATTCTAAAGAAGTTTAGTAAGCAAGGTACTCATACAAGCCATAATGATCTCGCACAATCTATCTCCAAGCCCCACTTCTTCAATACATCTTTAGATAAATGCCCATTCAAGCTAATCATAGGCCTTTTCTAGGTCCACTGTCACAACAACAAAGCCTATTTCCTTATTTTCCTCCTCATGGTGTTGATAATTTCTTGAGCTATTATTACATTATCACTATTCTATTTTCTAGCAATAAAACTGCTCTGGTAGTCTTCAATAATCTTTTTCATCAGCCTTTTGATTCTGTTAGCAATAATTTTGGAGACAATCTTGTAGCTTACATTACACAATGAAATAGCGCGAAAGTCTTCATGCATTATGGATGATCAATTTTAGGAATGAGCACAATATGTGTACTGTTAACCTCCTTAATGCTCCTGGGGTCTTGGAAAATATCCCTCACTAGAGCATAAACTGAGGCCCTTAGACATTTCTAATATTGTTGATAAAAGACTACTTGAATGCCATTTGGTCTTAGGGCCTTAAAAGTTCCTAACTCAAAAGTTGCTTGCCTTTTCTCCTCATCAGAAAGTTCTCATGCTAGACTTGCCCTCTCCAATTCACTAAGTCTCGAATAACTTCTATTAGACATAATTGGTGGTTGGAAGGAAGGCTCAGACTTGAAAAGCTTCTTGTAGTAATCCAGAGCCATACCTTTCAACTGCTCACTATTAAAAACCTAGTTGCCCAATTCATCTCTGAGAGCCTCCACATAATTATTTCTTCTATAGACTTTAGTAGTAGCATGGAAAAATCTACTATTCCTATCTTCCCAATTAAGCCATTTGCATCTAGATTTTTGATACCAAAGAAGCTCTTCTTGAACTAAACCTTTATTATATTCTTTCCAAAGGTCAGCCTCTACTTGTTTAAGATATTATGAGTCCTTCCTTCTCCTTGCCACGTTAATGCCCTCTAATCTCCTCAATAAGTGGTTCTTCTTCCTTGGAATGTTTCCAATTCTAAATTTATTCTAATAGATCGTAGCTGCCTTAAATTTTTTAACTTTCTCATTCCAATGATCGACACCCTCGCTTTGATTAACAACTTCCACAAAACCTTCCTTTAAAAACCATACAGCTCGACACCTAAAGATAGGTTTGCTCCTTCGCCTTTGTTGATAAGAGGACTTCTTAATGTATAGAGGTCAATAGTTTGAGCCAAATTTCCCCAAGTAGAAAGCTTTATAATTAGGAAATTTTGAAAACCAAATACTATTGCAAAATGCCCAATCGATTCACTCCTTAACTCG